GTGTGTGTGTGTGTGTGTGTGTGTGTTTGGTACCAGGGATCGAACTCGGTCCTTGTGCTTGCAAGGCAGGCGGCGGAACCACTGAGACAAATTCCTGGCCCGCTTTGCTGTTTTGAGACAGGTCTTGCTATGTAGTTTAGGCTGGCCTTGAGCTCAGAGATCCTCCCGTCTCTGCCTTCCGAGTCCTAGGATTACAGGTGTGCACCACCTGCCTGACAGATAAACTACTTTTTAACAGAAAAGGGCTTGCAGCCCCTGCGCAAATCAGTGGGTAACTTCAGGAAGAGAGGTTCTGAAGCCCGAGAACTTACAGGAAGGTACTGGACCACGGTTCCGTTCTGTTTTCCCACGGCCAGCTGCTTTCCCTTGGGGCTCCAGCACACTGGGCAGGAAGAGAACGCTGCCGATTAGAGTCTGTGGGGCAAGAGGGACCGCGCGACAGCTGCATGGCTGCCCAGGCTGTTTCTGTCAGTCCAGGAGAAGCCTCGGGGTCACCCAGGCCTGAAGCGGGGAAACATCCCACCCCCTTAATCGTGCAGAGCAGCCGGGACGTCCCCTGGGCGGCAGAGCTGGGCTAAGAGCGCGTCTCCGGTGCACAGAGAGCTGTCCACAGCCACCAAGCACAGAAAACTTTTAACAACTGTTCTTATCACCAGGTTGTAACGCAGTTACAAAGTGGTTAGAAATTTCTCAGAAAACCAGTCTTGAGACAAGGAGAAAGGAGAAAGTTTTCAAATACCAATCATTCTCCTGCTTCTATTTGTCACTTCTAATGCTTTTCTCCAAAGGTACAAAAGACTTTAAGATGACAGCTCTTTTGTCCAAAAGCAATTATCCTCAAAAACACATTTCTAAACCAGCTGCACCAAAATATTTCTCTCCCGAGATAACCCAGGCACATTTCAATTAATTCACGTAGGCTGTTTGACTTCAAGGACATTAACTGTGGAAATAAAGAATACTCTCCATATCCAAGTTAAAAAAAAATAAAGAAACCCACACACTTTTACTTGCAGAGGTGAATTTTTAAACAGATTACCATTACGGTACGTCACAGGGTGAAAGCCTTTGTCACCCACCTGATGTTACTGCCACTGTGGGAGGAAGAGTGGCACACACTTTCACCACGTCTGTGACTTGCAGGACAGCGATGCTGCCATCGGCCAGACAAACTGCCACCATGGATGGGACGGCGGGGTTCCACTTCATGTCGATCACCATGCCGCCTGCATCCCTCGCAAGCTTGTGATAGGCAAATGGGCGTTTCTGCTGTTTAGCCTTTTCAAATCAATGCACAAAAGCAAGATCACTACACACATAGACATTTCGTATCCAAAGGCAATCAGCAAAGACACAAGTTCTCCTAAATCAGAGTTTGCTTTTCTCCACAACCACGAAAAAGAGATCTGGCTCCACACAGCATCTGTTTGTTCCAGATGATTTCAAAGGAACTCTGAGAACGGCAGGCGATCACTCTACCTGCTCGGAGGGGCTCCTGGCAGGGGAAGGTATAAGCACAGGAAAATCAAAATGCAGCAGCACGTGAAAATCTTGGTTCTGCTTCTTAATAGTGTTGGGACCTCGGGCAGTCACCTAACCCTGAAATCTGTCTTTCCAACTATACCATGGAGAAAATCGCATCTACTACGTGAGGCTGTGGGAGGCAGGAGCAAGGACAGACATAAGAGACACTGGATATAGCTGCCTACTCTCATTCGGAGACTACGGACCGGAAGGGAGAACACTGACCTGGAGGCCCGAGGAAAACCAGGGCTGCTGACACTGCACTCTGGCCCTCAGGCCTGGAAGGTCACCCAAGCCTTCGCTGTCCTATGTACAAATGGAATACAGCCCGGCCGGGTGTGGTCAGGGACTCTTTCTTGTAGTCCTCTCTACCTCAAGGCCAGGGAGTTAGCTCAGTGGTGCCATCACCAGCCTCGGGACCAAAATAAAGATCCAGGAGTCTACAGTGAAGGACTCTTTTTCAGCCCACATCAAGTGAAGAAGCCTCCAGCAGCAACTCCATACAAGGACTTCGCAGGACCCCATACTGCCAGTTACCTCGTTTGAGAACGTCCGGACATCAAAGAAGGCGATGATGGGGCCGTATTCCCCGGACATCATGCACACCGACAGCGTGAGGCTGTCGCAGCTCAGGGCCAGGTGGTGTACTGGGAATTTCATAGGGACGAGCAGACTCTGAACCTTGTCCACTACAGAAACACAGGGAGAAAAGACAAAGCAGAAGCCGAACTCCTTTACCCAGGACAAGGTGAGACCATTTGTGAATCTATGTAAACACAACCATGCTAGTAAATCTGTACTTCCTTACAGAGGCGCAAGGGTACACTCCAGATATGTAACAACCCTAGGGACTGCTCCCCACGCCATCAGGGCAAACTAACTGCAGCTGCTGCCCTCGCTGGAAACATTTTTCGCTCAAACGCTCCAAACAGTACACATTTGCTTGGAAGGCACTGCTGAGCCCACAAAAACCCCATATAACAAAACCTTTTTTCTAGACAGCCACGGCCCAAGCTCAACTAAGCAAAAACAGAACTTCCTTCCTGTGTGCTCCTGCTCGAGGAGTAGCTCCTGAGAGAAATACAAAGGACCAAAGAGGAAACCTAGAAAGGCTTTCAGCAGGCCGCCTGGAGCCTGGTCTCCTGGGGTCCACCGTGGGCCCCGAACAGTTTTCATTTTCACATCAGTGACCTCCTGGGGAGAACACAACTCGAACAGCCCTCTCCACCCTGTGACACAAAGCAAGGGACTCACCTATTTTATTGGGATCATCTCCAGGTTTGTTCTGAATAAGCAAGTTTTTCGTAGAGAAAACCTGTAGCCCACTGGCTCCACCAGCAAAGAGCAGCCCATACTTGTTGGATATGGCAAGCAGGTTTGAGCGTTCCTTGGGCAGCTCCTCAGGGGAGTCGAAGACTCGCACTTTCTTCAGCGCTCTAAACTGAAAATCCTGTTTTGCAAGTTCAATTTGAAGAAAAAGAAAGAGTAAATTACGTCTGTTGATATACTCCAGGAGACATAATTGCAAGACAGACAATTCCTTACCTGGAGTCAATGACGGTCTCAGCTGTCCGAGACCTTCTGCATTTACATGGTGCCCACCAGGGCCAGCACGCATTAATATTTGCCCGATGAAATAAATGGGAAAAAAAACTCTATGCAGATCATCCTGGCTACTGTAGCCCACACTGTTCTTTTCCTTTTCTGAATTCCTAGTTGTGTGGTCTGAACCGCCACACAGCAACGTGTTATTTTTCTCTCCTATCTCACGAACCAGTGCAGTGCTTAATAAATTACTGTTAAATACTGAAAGCATCACCCAACTGCAGTGCAAGTTTTAACTTCTAGTGTGGTGCTCAACAAATACATACTGAAACCCCCACGGGAAAGACGACCAAATACCAAGAACTGGTTCCTTCTGTCAGCCGCTTAAAATTCCATCACAGAAAGGGATTCTTTCAATCCTGGGCCCTCAAGATCTATAAACAGAAACTAGATGCTAACAGCACACCTACAATACAAGTCCTCTGGGCGTGGTGTGCACACCGGAAGCACTCCAGAAGCAGAGGTAGGGCTGTGAGCGAGTTCAAGGCCGGCCTGGACTACACAGTGAGACCTTGTCTCAAACAAGCAAATACAGTGGAGCAGGTGGAGCTATGAAATCATTTCTTCCTTTTTTTCTTTTGGTACCGGGGCTTGAACTCGGGACCTTGCACTTGTGAGGCAGGCAGCAGAACCACTGAGCTACATCCCCAGCCCATGAAATCATTTCTTAATGTCCAATTCAATGATTAGGTTCCATGTCAACTTTACGGGAAAATTTGATTTGGTTTGTGACTAGAATTGTGGAAAGAATTAAGTTTGTGAACCGAGGTACCACTATAAATAAATAAAAACATAGGTCAAGCCCCTCAGTGCAGGCAACAAGGCCAGGCATGGCTTCCCTATCTGTTCTGCAGTCTCTCCTCCTAACATCCGGCTTCCTTTTCACAGTGGGCCACCGTCTCTGCCGCAGCTGCTGCCAGCCTTGCTTGCCCCTATTTTGTTTCATTGCCTTTAACTTTCGAAGTCCTGTTAGACACAAGTGGCCTGGCAGGTTTCCCTGGCCTTTTGTCAGTGCCACTCCCTCATGTTTTCAAAGTCTTTTCACTGTGTACCATCTCTTAGGGAAAAGTTCCCTAAGTTTACCCACTACTTTGTTAAACTGTACTATACATGGTTGGTGTCTTTTCTTTTCCCCCCTTCAATCCTAAACCTTTCTTCAGGTTGAGGTTTTAGTGAAAAGAATGTGAATCTGTTCTGTGCTTCCATTCCAGAAGTGTGAAAAAGAGAAGCACAGCTTTTTTCGGCTTTCATTTTTACAAACTAGAGTTGCATATGGGATTCATATGGGATTCCCTAACACATCAGCTGAAATACTCTCCATTCCAACTGACTGCCGTGGGTACAGATTCATACAACTTGTTGCGAATCGAGGCGCATGCCTGTAACCCCAGCTAAGACTGAGGAGGAAGACCACAAGCTTGAGACCAGCCTGGGAGATGCTGTCTCAAAAACCAAACCAAAACTAAACTGAACTAACTGAGCAAGCACAAGGTCCCAAGTTCGATCCCTGGTACCAAACAAAACTAAACTAGACAGAGCAGAGATATAGCTCAGCACTAACTGGGTAAAATCTCCAGAAATAAACAAGGACACACACACACACACACACACACACACACACACACACAATTCACACAGCTTCCAGATAAGAACATACTGTGGTTTCATAAAGCAGAATAAAAATTTTAGTCTCCCCATACCTTTTTTGTTGTTGTTGTTGTTTTGTACAGAGAATTAAACCCAAGACCTTCAAACTGAGCTACATCCCCAGTTCTTTTTTGATTTTGAGACAGGGTCTCAAATTGCCCAGGCTGGGCTCAAACTTTCCATCCTCCTGCCTCAGCCTCCCAGAGTAATGGGATTCCAGACATGCATCACCACACTTGCTTCGGCCTTTTACTTATATACATACACTTACTTATTTAGGTTTTTTGAGACAGGGCCTTGCTCCGTAGTTCAGGCTGGCCTTGAACTCAGTATTAGCCCAGGAAGGCCTCAAACTAGTGGTAATCCTCCTGTGTCAGCCTCCCAAGCGCTGGCAGGTGCCATCATGGTTGGGGGCTTCTGTCTTTTATAAGTCTTATCGTGATAATCTCAACTCTGCCCTATTTGGTGTAGGTCACGTGGGTGCAGAGTGTCAGTAGGATGAGGAGACACGGAGCAGTCCCTCCTATAACAGTAACTCAAGGACACTATCAGCTTCAGTGTATGGTTCTGAAGCCTTTCCTTCCTTCTACCCCTGTGCATCTGAGGAACAGCACACACGCCCATTAGGTGGCTCAAAACAGGCAGTAAGAATCACTGTTCTAAATATGGCATGGTTCACTATCCCCTCAACCACACTTCAGCGATTTGCTGTTCACCCAAATGCTGAAAATATTTCTGCAACTTACTCACATTCAGCCCTTCTGCTTAAAATAGCTCGTTCTCTGTACCTTCACTGCCAGAACCTACGTAAAAACTATCAAACTCGCCATCCTGAGAGTTATCCCAGTGGTCTCCCTTTCAGTTTCCTGACTTTAGATGGGGGGGGTACTGGAGATCGAACTCGGGTCCTTGCGCTTTCGAGGCAAGCGCAGGCACCACTGAGCTAAATCCCCGGCCCCAGTTTATTTAGACTGATTCCCGCAGCCAAAATCATGTTCCTAGTCCAATCAGCTAAAAGTTGTGTGGGCCGATGACCCTTCCTGCTTCTACTTGGGGCGAGTCTAGACCACCTTACAGAAGTAGCACAGCCCGGATGAGAACGGTAAGGTCTCACACGAACCAGACTCCCAGACCTACTGTTAAACGCGACTTTGGGAATTCCTTTCGGAACTTCCATTTGCTCCTATCCACGACCACTTCCTAGGGTCGCTGTGATGATCACCGAGTCCCTGGCACACGATACACGCTCAGCTGTGACCACTGCTTTGGCCACCGTACGCAAGGGGCTGGGATAGCTCGAGAGGCGAGCCCGAGACGCCAAGCGGCAAGGAAACTACTCTCGGGGACGCTTTCCCGCCCGTGGAACGGCGGAGGCCCGAGCAGGCGACAACTCTATGGTTCAAGCAAGAGGCGGGGCCGGAGCCACCCGCGCTCCGCTGTTCCGCGGGACTCCCAGGCTGGACGCCAGGTTTACGGAAGGCAAGGAGGCCCAGTCAGTATCTGACCTTCATCTCGCGCTCCGGGATCATGGCATCCATCTCGTCTCCCATCGTGCTGCCCTCAGTCTGCGGAAGCAGAGGCCGCTGCCACCCGCGGCCCTTCCCCAGACGCCAGGCCGCTCCGAAGCCAACTTCCGCTCCTCGGCTCTAGTCGCGCACGGCTGACGCGCACTTCCGGCACGCTTTGGTGACGTCAGGAGCCCCATCGGGGAGGAGCGGAGGGAGGCTTCCATATCCTCTGAAGTCGGGCGCCCTCCTGGCCGCGGACCCCCATTGGTCCGCCCCAGAGAAAGGGGCGTGGCCGCGGGGCCCGCGCGCCTGCGCTCTGGAATACCCTGGAGCCATCCATTTGACAGGTTTCGTTCATTTCCCCGCGCGTGCGTAAACGCTCTTCTCTCGTGTCCGGGAAGCCTCGCTGTATTTCTTAGACGCAGGAATTTAACAAATATTTCCACCGGACCGCTTTGGGTTTTGCAGAGGGAGGGGAAGGAACTCTTCAGAAAATGGCTAGAGCCAGGTCCTCAGGCTGAAAATGGAGAGGCTGAGACACCAAAGGCCAGCTTTGTGTACCCCTTTCAAGGTAATCATTTCCAGGGCAAGAGCCGTATCCACTTCTGGATGCAAAAGACTGGGCTGAGTTTTGCGTCAAACACTAGATGTTATCTTGTTTAACCTTCAGTACTTCCTACTCACCTAGGATTTTGTTAACATTTGACGAAAAAGGGGGAGCAGAGAGACGTTAAGAAAATTTACCGGGTGTGGTGGCGCATGCCTATAATCCCAGCACTTGGGAGGCCGAGGCAGGAGGTTTGCTGTGAGTTAGAGGCCAGCCTGGACTACACAGCAAGACCCTGTCTCTAAATAAATAATAAAAAATTCTCCATGGCCCTCAGGCAGAAAATGAACAGGATTTGAACTCATATCATCCAACCATTGCAAAGCCCTATGTAGAAGACACTGGTGTAGTGGAATTAAACACTCTCGGGGGAAGGTTCTTTACTTGGGACCCGTGGGCGGGGCACCCTGCTCCTTGCTGTTGGTTTGCAGCAACTTGCTGTGCTGCTCTTGAGTCTGCTTCTCATATGCAGAGCAGCGATCTTGTGCGCTGTGGAGTGAAGTCCAGATGTCTTGGGCATCTGGTCACCCTCAGCCCTCGAGCTGCTGTTCTAGCTCTTCTGAATTTGCTGAGCCCCAAGATAAACCAAGAAAGCCACCGGGTTAGTTTGTCTGGTTTATTCCAATCTGCACAGATACCCCACCCACATACACACTCCTGCCACTGCACACACGCAACTTCAGTCACCTGGACTCGCCTGACAAACTTTCCTTTTGAATCACGGGGACAAAGCCATACGTAGCAGTCCCCACGTTGCTCATTACGTTAGATTTGGTCTTTTCCAGAAAGAAGACAGTTGAAGTTCCGAGAAGCCGAGCCCTTAGCTAGAGAAATGAGACCTGGAGCTGGCAGCTACGACCTGAAATACAGGCGATTCTCTCACCCAGGGCCCACACTGGAGACCCTGTCTCCCCAGGGCTGAACCCCAGGATCCTTCCGATAGTCTCAAACCGTGGAACCTGCTGAAATAAGCCTGGTTGGTTCTGCCTTCCTCTCTGAGCCCCCTGATGGGGAGTCAAAAAAAATCTTAATTTTTTCAGGAAGAGGCAGGCACAAGGGGATGGGGACAGGCAGTTGCTAATCTTGGAAAAAACAGCCAAAACCCCTCCAAGGTAGAGTGGAGGGTGTAGGTTGGATTTTATATTTACAGGGAGGAATGCTGTACCGGGTTTAAACTTCAACTAGGCCAGTGCAGCTCCTCTGACTGAAGATAAATGGTCTCGCTCCTGAACGGGCTGAGACCAGGGGATTGGCGTGACGTGACGTGGCCCTGTCTCTGTGCCCTGCCTGCCTTGCTCCCGTAAGCTGCTACTGGGCAGCAGGATGGGCCCTTCACTATGGGTCTAATGGAGCCACAAGAAACCGGAAGTGGCCCCGACAGCCCCTAGTCTCTTTTCTTTTTTCTGGCACTGGGGATTGAACTTGGGTCCTTGTGCTTGCGAGGCAGGCGGTGGCACTCAGCTAAATCCCCAGCCCTTCTCTTTTTTTCTCCAGTAGCAAAATGGGAATAACTCCTGGGAGACAGGAGGGGTCCCGCATGGGTTGCCCTGTCCATAGGGTTTGCAAAGGTTTCTCCAGGAAGCTCGTCCCTGTCCAAGGCAGTCACCCTCAGGCCCCTCCCTAACATTCGTCTCTCTGACAGCCAGTTCGGAGCTCTTGGCCTCTGGCAGAGCTGAATAAATACATTCAATGGAGGAGCGTATCTGCGTCCCGAGGGCACAGGTAAAGGTCCCAGAACACAGGTGGAGTCAGGACCCACACTTTCCTGCCTGGGTTCTGAGAAGCGAGTCCCTGAGGCAGGACTAGGAGCTGTAGGGAGGCAGAACCACAGAGCAGGCCTCGTCCTAGCCCAGCGCTGATGCTGACCTGGAAGCCCGCAGCAGTTAAAGCGAGAGAAGCCTTTGGCCTCCCTCCCTGCCTACAACACTGATGAAGGCACCCGGAGCAGAGGGAGGCATGGGCAGGGTCTGCCCCCTCCAGATTAACCCCTGACCTTGGGCAAGGTGGTTATCCCGTGGGCCCAGCTCACCCACAGGGCGGATGAGCGCTCTGCAAATCCTGTGAGTCCCTGAAAAAAGGACACAGGTGGCCCAGTCCGATCTGAGGATCAAGGTTTTAAGCAACTTGGAGAGGGAGGGGTGAGTTAGAGACAGTGGACAGTCAAGGTCAGGGCAAGGTCGGAGGACGTAAAGCTCACAGTAGGTGCTCAATAAATATGCTGCATGAATATGTGAATAAATGGATGAACAGTGGGAGTGAGGCAGCAGGGAGATGGAGGAACCAGTCAGGCTGCAAGCGATTGTGATCACACAGGTAACCCGCTGCTCGCTCCTGGTGTACCGGGAGTACTGGCCTTTGTGTGAGCATTTTCCTCTCTCCGATGCCATTGCCCTCTGCGTCCTGCAAGGTGGGACTTCCTGGCCGACCCTCCCTTAGGTACCTGGCTTCATCTCTGCCTCTGAGGCCCTATGCTTCTCCACCCGGACCGTGTGGCTCTGTGCTGCCTGGAAAGGCGTGGCCGGGAGCACAGCCTGGGGGGCTCCTTCCGGTTCCTCCTTGAAGGGCTCAGGTCCCCAACCTCCCTTCCTGTCCACTGTGTCATGGGCTTGGGGGTGAGCAGAGGGGTGGGTCGAGGGGGAACCTCGGGGTGAGGGGCACTGAGCGGCCACACCCGGGCCACCCAAGAGCATCGGAAGCGTGGGGCCCGGTCTTCCCCAGCTCTTGGGACAGGGGCTGAGGTCGCACGTACTCTGGGAGGGTGGAGGGAACGCCTCTGCGCGAGGGCTGCGCGCCTCCGCTCCCTCTGCTCCCGGCCTCCCTGCTCTGGCCCGGCCCCTCCAATGTTTGGTTTGATCTCAGCCTCTGCACGGGTGCCTCCGCTCCCTCTGCTCCCGGCCTCCCTGCTCTGGCCCGGCCCCTCCAATGTTTGGTTTGATCTCAGCCCTTCTGCACGGGGCCGGGAAAAGGCAGGAAGGAGACAGGAATGGGGGACCCAAGGCTCAGGAATCCCCAGCCCAGAGCCCTTTAAGGCAGATAATTTGTGCTTTACAAGAAGACTGCTAAGGAAACACACGAACCCACAGCGGCCAAACAAAGGAGTAGGACGAATCCCAAGGAGTCAGGAGAGAAGGGGGGTGCGGAGGGGCAGAGGCCAGGCGCAGGTCATCAGGGCAGGCTTGCAATGTCTCTCTCTGGCGGGGGCCCGGCTGGCCTGGAGCCGCCCTCGTTGGCTTTGCCTTCAAACATCATGACTCTGGTGTGAAGACAGGAAAAAAATGAAACAGAATTAGGACCCCTTTCTTCCCCGACCTACAGAGCTCTTAATGGGCTTTCTTGGCCACCGTGAGGTCCTTTATAAGAGGACACAGCATCATTTGCCATTGTACTTTAATTTTTGGGGGGTGGGTGGGTCTTGATATGTAGCCCAGTTTGGCCTTGAACTTACGGGAGAACCTCCTGCCTCAGCCTCCTGAGTGCTGGGATCACAGGTGTACACCACTGTACCCTACGTAAAATGTTTTTTAAAAAGTGATTCTTATTTCATGAAACCCAAGAGCGTAGCCTTTTCAGCTGTGACAGACAAGGCCCTCAGAGAATTCCTGCTCTGACTGCCAGTGGGACGCACCCACCAGAGAGTTTGGCCTCCATGGTGAACATCGGCCAGCCGCAGACCAGGCTGAACCTGCGTTATCTTACTGCCCCCTCAGGACGACGCTTGGTGGAAGACACATGCTTTCACCTCCATTTTACAGATGAGGAAACTGAGGCCTGGGGACCGAAGGTAACTTGCCTGGGGTCATTTAGTCAGCAAAGAGCAGGGTCAGGGTTTGAACACGATCTCCCCTGGAGCAGATCTGTGATTCTACTTTATTTTATGCTTCCCACAGCCCCGCCAGGGAAGTAGAGTTGCTTTACAAATGAGGAAGCTGAGGCCAGGTGTGGAGGTGTGTGCTTGCCATCCCAGCACTCGGGAGGCTGAGGCAGGAAGATCGCCATGAGTTCAAGGCCAGCCTGAGCTACACAGTGAGACCCTGTCTCAAAAAGCAAAACCACAATACACAAATGAGGAAACTGAGGCACAGCAAGTGTTCACACACTAATCGCCATCATCACGTGACTGGCAGGTCGCCGGGGCCGGTTCTTCCCGACGCCCCACTGCAAGCTAATGCCCGAGAGGTACGGGCGGCAGGGCGCTTGACGATAAGAGGGTCAGCGAAACCGGAGCCCCGAGGGGCCAGCCACTCACAGCTTGAGCACAGCCGAGCGCTTCCCCAGCATCATGTTGACGAAGTCTCGGTAGGAGATGGTGTTGCTGACCCCGCCCGTCACCTCCGAGATCATCTTCTTCATCTCCAGGTGGGTCTTGGGAACCCCCAGCTTCTCCATCATCCTCTTCAGAGACATCAGGTCTGCCGGGTGGGAGGTGGGCGCGGGGCATCAGCAGGGACAGGGACAAGGACAAAGCTACGCACGGAGGCCTGGTGGGCACCCTCACCCTCCCTGCCGTGCGGGCCTCTGTGAGCACCCTGAGCCTCCAGAGCCGGCCTGGGGAACCACCGCATCTCTCTGAACCCTGCTCTGTCAGTGGCGGAAAGAAAGTAACAAAGCCAAGGCTGGGTGTGGTGGTGGTGCACGCCTGTGATCCTAGCACTCAGGAGGCTGAGGCAGGAGGATCGCTATGATTTGAGGCCAGCCTACACCACGTAGTGAGTTCAAGGCCATCCTGAACTACACAGAAAGATCCTGTCTCAAAAAGCCAAACAAGGAAAGAAAGTCCATGTCTTAGGCACAGCGTGGCAGGCCACTCGACTCTGCCCCCCACGCCGCCACTCCCACCCCGCTGTCCTAGGGCTCCGCCTGGACTAGGAGAGGGAGAGGGAGCCAAAAATATCCCAGGAGCAGGAAAAGCAACAAAAGAATAAAATTCAAGAAAAACAAGGGAGGCACCATAAAGCCAGGACACCCCCAGGAGCTGCTGCCCTTAGCCTCCCTCCTGCTTCCACTGAGAGCTGAGGCAGTTTCCTTGGGATTGTTCTGGGGTGGACAATGGCTCAGCACGGGAGGTGGGGGTGGGGGGGCTGAGCAGGGCTGCTCTTAGGGCCAGTGCACACTGAGAGGCACGGCGGTCAGACTGGTGCCAAGCCCAAAGGTGCCAGGCTGCCCAGGCCCTGGGAGCCAGCAGCTCCCGCAGCAGACAGTGCAGGGACCCCCGTGCTCCCTGCCAGACCTTCCCCTTCTCCGGTGGTAGGGGTTTGAGGCAGGGTCTCCCTCTGCCATTCGGACTGGCCTTCAACTCACTACGTAGCCCAGGCTGGCCTCAAAGGCATGGTGACCCTCCTGCCTCAGCCTTCTGAGGGCTGGAATCACAGCGTGCGCCACTATGGCTGGCTTAGGATGTAATACCTTACAGCTCTGACCCAGACAAGGGAGCACAGAGCCGGGCAGCACGTGGCCCCACCTCCTGGGTCCCTGTCGCCCAGGCAGGGGCTGAGGAGGAGGAGGAGGAAGGAAACAGTGGGGCAACGTCGCTGGCAGTGGAGCCGGTAGAGGACGGGGCGTGTGGCGACGTGGCCGCCGGGCATCTGCAGGGTGTGCCCACGGCCCCTCCACCCACCCGAGCCCCCGTCCCTGCTCACCAATCTCGCCCTGGCTGTTCAGGTCGAACTCCATGTACTTCTCTGGAAATCACAAGCAAACTGCGTCAGGCCCCGGCCACCCCCACCTCAGGTCCCTGTCATCTCAGATGTCTTTCCAGTGTTCCGTGTAGAAGCTGCTGCGGGCTGCCCCTCTCGGTCCCCACCCCGTGTGTCTAAGGAACTCGATCTTGAATTTGGGGAGGGTGGATGGGTGGCCCTTGCCCTCACCCCAAGCCTCTCCTATAGACTGAGTTACGCTTGAAATTTGCAGTCTCAAACTTGTGATCCTACTGCCTCAGCCTCCTGAGTGCTGGGTTCCAGGTGTGCACCACTACACCCATCGGTTCCTAGTTTTTCTTATTCTCAAAGCATTGCAGCATTCTGGTTAGGAGACGGGGCTTTGGGGCCAGACTGACAATTCAAATTCCAACTCTTGCCATACAGGGCCAACCTCCCATCTTCTTGAGCCTGGTTTCTCTATCTGTGAATTCACAATTGCACCCTCTCCCTCCTGTTGGATTGGGGACTCGGGGGGCTCACAGGCCCGGCTTCACACACACCAAGCCGTGCACCTGCTCGCTGACAGCCAGCCGGGGTCCACTCAGGGCAGGTCCGGAGCTTTCTAGCAAGTGGATGCCCCACTGTCAGTGTCAGGGAGGAGGTGCGACCCTGGACACTCCCAGCACGCCCCTGGAGCACCCCGGCACCCCATCTTGGAGCAGGAGGGGCGGGTGCACCGCACTCCCATGCACTGCTGCTCTCCTGAGCCCAGCGGCTGGCTGGAAACCAGGATCCAGGGCCCGAACACAGGGACCTTTATGCTTCCCCCTCCCCACCGGGCTCCCGGGCCCTGTTTTCTTTTCATCCTGTGCTTCCAGGATTCAGTGGGCAGAAACTGCCCCCCTGCCCCGCTGTGGCGACACAAGTGTCCTTTCTCCGCAGGGGCTCCCGAGACACTGGGCCGCAAGGCGGGAGAGGCCGGGATGCCTCACAAAGACTGGATTGTGTGCTGGCCCAGAGCACGTAGGGCCCGGCAGGGCGGGCAGGAGCCGACCTGAGCCCCGCTGGGCGGCCCTGGTGGCAGGGAGAGACGCTGCCCCACCTCTGCGGCACCTATCTGGAGCCGGCCAGGAAGAGGGGCGCTGTGGGCGAAGGGGCAGCTGCCCGGCTCACCTTTGAAGGCCGCCAGCTTCTCCGGCAAGTTCTCCTCGTCGCTGTACTTCTGGTCGCACAGGAACTCCTGCAGAGGAGAGAGCTCAGCGCTGGACACGGCTCCAGGCCCCCACAGAGCCCCAACCCAGGGACCCTCTCCCACCCGCAGCCAGGCCTGCCTGGGCAGTACCCACCCTTGGTGTCCCGTCAGCCCTTGCAGGCAGAGCCGCCCAGCCCTCTGCTCTAGGCTCCTTGGGGACCTGTGCCAGGCCCAGGGCAAGTGCACCTGCCATCCTCAAGCCCCGAGCTCCTCTGAACCCCAAAGACAAGCATCTGACCCCATGACCTGCCTCTGAGAGGTGTGGGCTGCAGTGAATGCTGAAATTATAAAGAATGTATCACAGGGCTGGGGATTGAGCTCAGTGGTTCTGCCGCCCGCCTCGCAAGCGCAAGGACCTGAGTTCGATCCCAATACCAAAAAAAAAAAAAAAAAAAAAAAAAAAAAAAAAAAAGTCACAGTAAAGCACAGCGGCACGAATCCCCTCGGAGTCCTCCTCCTCCTCCTCACGTTGGCCGCGCTCACCCCATCGCTCTGGCCACTTCCTGCAGCAGCTCTGGAGTCCCCTTTCATGGGTGTCTTTATTGTGCTGTCGTGACCGCCTCAGTGTCATTCAAAGTGTTTCCCTTCCGGAATCATTTTCACGCTGGGGAGGAGCCGGAACTCCCAGGGCCAGCTCCAGTGACCGAGGTGGAGGAGGACACAGCATCATGTCTTGAGAAGCCCGCATTCCCATTGGATGGTGCTCGGCAGCGTCATCTCACTATTTTACTTTTTTCCTGTACCAAGGATCGAACTCAGGACCTTGCGCCTGTGAGGCGGGCACGGTGGCACTGAGCTACATCTTGGGCCCCGTCATCTCCCTGGAAGTTCTGATCACACCTTGTGAAGACCCTCGCGAAAGTGGACTCCAGAGCTGCTGCAGAAAGTGGCAAAGATGCCGGGAAGAGTGCGTTCCAGGGGAGGGGGCGAGTCTGAGGGGGCTCACGCAGCGCGTCCCTTACCGTAACACCCCTTCCCGGGGCACACCTTCGCTTTGCCTGTCCGCTGCCTCACCCTTGTAGCTCCCCGTGCCTCCTCGGCTGAGTGAGGACACAGGGAGCCGCTTCCTGAGCCTGTGCGACTCCGACGTGTGTGACGCTGCCCTGCTTGCCGCGTACCTGCTGCACCCTTAGGTTCTGTCCTGTCGCTCTGTGGAGGGTCTGGGCGGCCACTTCCCCTCTCACCTGCTTCCTGAGCTGCCTGCAAACTGAGCTTTCATGCCTGGCCCAGCTGCCCTCCAAAGACGCCTGGAGGGACGCGCATGAGTCCCTTCAGCGCCGGACGGGTGGAGCGGGTGGAGCGGGCAGGAGCAGGCGGCCCCTTGGTGAAGCACGCGCCCCTCCCGGTACCCCCAGGGCGGCCGCTCACGTTACCCCACAGTGCGGAGGAGACCACAGCGCCAGGGAGAACGCCAGGGAGAACGGCAGGCTTAGAGCTGCGGGAGCGCAGGCGTCCCTGCCGCCGGCCCAGTGCCGGGTGTCCTGGTCTCCTCGCCAGTCTTTCTGCACTCAGCACCTTCCCTTCCTGTCACCAGCGGGGAAACGGCGCCGCCCCTCTGCATTCATTCTTTTCTTCCGTCACCTACTCCACACTTTTGAGGGACCGCCTGTGCACTCTGCTTGGCCGAGCACCAAGGGCGCAGGGAGACGAGGTGAGCACAGTGAGAGTCACATCCTAACAGGACAGGAAGTCCACATTTAAAATGATATTAAGCCACCCAGCGTGGTGGTGCCTGCCCGTCATCCCAGCACTCAGGAGGCTGAAGCAGGAGGATCGCTGTGAGTTCAAAGCCACTCTGGGCTATAGTGAGATGTTGTCTCAAAAAAAGAAAAACCAAAAAGAGACTAAATGTCACCCATGTCAATCACTGAACTTGTTTTTGAACTTGTGCAGTCATCTTCTAGGATGGCGAATCCTCCACCTTTCCAGTCTGTTGCTCAAAACCCCCATGAGGTAGAAGAGAGATACAAGCCCCTAATGAGTCAGGGATTGGCTCTTCTTCCCCTCCTTACCAGCTGTGAAATGGGCACAGCAGTACCTGCCTCCTCGGGCACCTGCCCCTTGGATCCCGCCGTGAGTCCAGCGGGCTGGACGTGGGCGCTTGTTGAGAACGGGTGTGGATCGTGAGGCTGAACGCCATCCTCACCCCTCGGACAGAAGAGGAGGCCGAGGCAGGCGGGCAGCCCCTGTCTGTGCCCCTACTGCTCCGCTGGCCTGAGAGGTGAACTGGGCATGGCCAGTCCACAGGCAGCAGAGGTAGCTCAGCCCAGCTGGGCATCTGGGTCTGTTGGTCTGCAGGGCCCGTGCCCAGTGGCCTGGCTGCCACCACCCGCCACCCTGCCTGCCCCCGCAGCCCGGGGCCGTGCCCTCCCCTGGCTCTGGTGAGGACGGCCCTTCCCTGGCTCCACCATCCTTGGAACGAATAGTTCAGTTTGTCTGTGACCCTGAGCAGACCTGGCCACTCCTGGGAGCCTGGATCCCTTCTCTGCCCATTGAGGGAAGACCTGGCCAGCAGCGCCCAGCTGGGGTAACATAAGACAGAAAGGGGAGGGGACCCACGGAGGGCTGCCAAGTCTTGATTTTGCCAAGTAGAGACTTTTTAAACAATTCCCATTGACTGTTGCCATGGGCTTGGCAGGAAGTTCATAATCTCTGAATTTTAAACCGGGATCCCTTTAGGTGGGGTGCAGCCCGCTGTATTACCCCCGAGTTCCCTTTGCCTTACCAAGAACCAGCAGCCTTTCCGGGGAGCGGGCACAGGGCCCAGGGGAGGCCCAACCTCTGGGAGCCATCTGGGGAGTGGGTGCCCCTCCCACTGGTGGCCGACCAGACATCCCGCCCGGCTCAGAGCTGGCTGCTAAGTGTCTGTCACCCCGAGGGACCTGAGTCCTGCTGTCCCCTGTGGCAGACGGGGCCCCAGGAGAAGGCCACGACAACTGGTCTTAGGCCCAGAAGGACACAGAACCCCAGCAGCCGGTGCGGGCGAGCCCAGGAGCACAGCACAAGTGGAGGAGCTCCCGGCTCCTGGCCCCGCAGCCACCTTCTGTGGATGAAGCATTTCCCCCTCTTACAATCCTCATCTCACACACCATTTCATGTGTGTCCCCTCCTCCTGCCCCTCACCTGGGTCTGGACCACACTCCTACCCCAGGACCTTTGCTCAAACTGTGACCACCTGGAGTAGCCCGATGATGCTCCCCGCTCTTCCTTTACACCTCTGATCAAGTCACCTTCTCACTGGGGCCTCCCCTCATTTCACCCACCCGATTTCATACCGCACCCAGCCCGCTGCAGCCAGCTGGTCTCCAACTTCCCAACTACCAGGTCCTGGCCTGCCTCTCCTTTTAGCCTAACACAACTCCTCTGCATTGCTCATTAAGGTTCCTGTCTGTGGCCTGTCTCCCCCTGCGAGGGGGTAGGTTCCACATAGTAGATGCTCAGTAAATCTCTGCGACTCGGTTCACAGCTTGTGTGCATCACACAGGCAGAAATGGCCGAGCGGGGACGAGCTCAGCGGCTGCTGCTTGGCCTCCCTCCCTTCCTGGGCAGCTGCAGAGCAGGGCCCTCCGGGACTCAGGGCAGAGGCAGGTCCTTACGCCTGCTCTGGACAGCCGGCTCTCGGCAGCGCCCGGCACAGAGCAGGCGCTCAGCGGACAGCTGTCGGGTGAGTGTGAAGCGTGCCGCTCTGCCAAGACTTGAAAAGGGTCGGGCGACCGGCAGGAGCTCCTGGACTGGGCTCCGCTCTTTCCTTCAGGCCCAGTGACAAATGCTTGGACCCAGAGTGACCGGGGTGGGAGGAGCAGCTGACTGGTCCGTGCGTGGGTCAGATGCCCTCCCGGGCCCTGGCAGCTGTGCCCTTGGCAGGGGCAGAGGTGGGTGGGCAGGGGCAGGAGCCTATCCCTCCAGACAGTGCCCATCCCCACTTAGCCTGGGGGTGCAGGACAGGCAGAGGAGACAAAGAAGCGCCCCCAGAGGTCCGGAAGAGAAGCAAAATGACGAAAGAGGGCAAGGTGGAGCCAGATGCCCGAGTGTGAGTCCCCTTAGCAGTTTTGTGAAAATGACTTCATTTGTCTACCAGCCCTCAGGAGGCTGAGGCAGGAGGGTTGCCGTGAGTTCGAGGCCAGTCTGGGCTACATAGTGAATTTGAGGCCAGCCTGAACTACAAAGCAAGACCCTGTCTCAAAAAATAAATAAATAAAATTTTAAATAAAAACAATAAAATTATTTCATTTGTCTGTGCGTGTTTCCTTGGCAAGAATGAATAAAAACATCATATTTACCTTCCAGACTTGTAAAGTGCTTATCACAGTACCCAGCACTTAATAAGCACTGAACAATTGGTAGGTGTGTATTAACAGTTTCTATCTGTATAATCAATCAGCTTTTAACTCCCACACCCCACCACCAATTATTAAAACAGTTTAGGAAAGAAGCTGACGTCCCCTGACTTAGGCCAGTTAGGATTTCTCTGTCCTTTTCCATGTTTGGGCCTGTTTGTTTTAGTTTTTTGAGACAGGGTCTCACTGTGCATAGCTCAGGCTACCCTCGAACTCATGGTATCCTCCCGCCTCAGCCTCCCGAGTGCTGGGATTATATGTGTGCACCACCCTTCCTTGCTCTCTCCCCTATGTTTTTCTTTGCTCTCCTTCTCTCTCCTTTCTAGGAAAGAGGGGACAAGTGAGGCTCAGAAAGGGTGCTCAACTTGCTCAAGAACACAAAGGTTTAGCAATTCCAGGTCTGTCTCCCTCCTCCAACCCAGCACCCCCTCAGCTCCAAACACGGCCTGCCTGCAGGATTCTGAGCCAGGAGCACCTAGGAAAGTTACCTTTCCCGGGGGCAGCTGCAGTGGGTAATTCTTCCAGAGCCCTGGGACAACCACACAACTTGGGAGGCGGGGTGGGTAATGCTATCCGAACTCCCAATCCAACCTACTGTCCCGGAGGCAAATCTAGAGAAACAAAAGCAGGAGGGACACATCTGTCCCTGAGGCCTGAGGGCTCACGTTGCTACACGTGAGGCCCAGGAGGTGTCAGAGCTCTTAAAACAGCCATCCAAACTGGCTGTGGTGGCGCACACCTGTAATCCTAGCACTTGGGAGGCTGAGGCAGGAGGATTGCCACAAGTCTGAGACCAGCCTGGGCTACATAGGAAGACTGTCTCAACAAAACAAAACCCCAAATGAAAACCCACCCCACCCAGCCTCAGAATCCACAAGAGACTCCTGGGAGCATCCAGCTTTTGCTCTTTGTTCACCAGCTGGGGAAACTGAGGCCCCCAAGAGAATTTCTCTCCTGGAGTCCAGTGATCCCTGGAAGCCCCACACAAACTCTGCACAAAATATATACAGGAACAGGACAGGTAAATCAGAGTTTTAATCCCGGCTCCAGCACTTTCTGGCCCGTGGCCCTGGGCACCTTGTTTTTCCTCATCTGTCAGCTAGAACTGTAATGCTGGGCCCTCCACACTGAGTACAGAAGAGCCTGGCTCCTGGGACACTTAGCAAGCATGGCATTGGCCACTGTGCACCCCCAAGAGACCAGCTCTGCAGAGAAAGCACCCCCAACTCAGCACTGTGCCCGACCCTGTGCCACAAGGTCCCCAGGGGAGTGGTGACCCTCCGGCCCTCCCTCCTCAAGGGCCAGCTTCACTCTGACCTTGGGCGCCGGGCTGGCCCCAGCGCATGCCTTCTTGGCCCTAGGGGCTGTGCCTGGGCCGCACCTGCTCTCTGCCACCTCCTTTAGTCTCCTCCACTCTGGTGCGTGTGGGAAACTCCTCCCTACCCCACCAACCCCAAAAGCCTCATCCAAGTGCACAGCCCAGGAAGGGCCAGTTCCCAAAGCACCAGAGGCCGGCAGCCCCTCCTGTGGGGTACCTGGCCATCAGATCCCTGGCAAGCGCCTGCCATCCCTGGCCCAACTCCCTTCCGGGGCTGGTACCTCCAGGAACTTCTCTTGGGCCCTTGCTCCTGGCCCTCCAGGCTGGTCTTTTTGTATCAGCTGCAGCAGAATTTTGGGGTGGGCGGATATCACCATCCTGGAGGCCATCCGAGGGGCTGGCAAGACGGGCAGACCATGCCAGAGCCCCAAGGCCTCTGACTCAGCCCGCAGGCTCTTAATGGGCCAGGCCCAGGCCACAAGTGCTGTGCCTGGCACTGGGGAGGAGCAGGAGCCTGTAACCTGTCCCCTCTGGGACAGCAGGCTCACATTCCCCAGGGCAGCGCCGGGGCCTCAGGCGGACACCGTGTGTGAGGAGGCCACAGCGAGGTCACAACCGGCCAGGCCTGCGGGCGACACTGAATCCCCAGAGGCTCACATGGCTCTTTTCCTCATCTCCTTCATAATACATTAAGGAAGCGCAAGAGAGACGGGTGTCCAGCAGGGCCAGCTGGGCACGTTCACCTGGGCAGAGACACAGCGGTCCTGCCGGGCACACAGGGAAAGAGACACACCTACAGAGGTGCCTGGGTCAGGTCTCAGGGCCCCCCCAGCATGGGGGCGGGGGACACGTACACCCCTGGGCAGAGATCCCCAGCTTGTCCAGCCAGCTCACTTCGCAGGACACAGGGCACGTGGGTGCTGGAACAGCCAGCGGGCACCTCAACATCACAGGGAATGCTGCGCGCCCTCCATTTGACCTGGGGTGCTGGGACAGCAGAACACGGCCCAAGTCTCATCCACCCGAGCGAGACCCGTTTCACCACCGAGTCGCAGCCACCTGCTGGACACGGCCAGGAGGGCCTGGGCGGCACCTGGAGTCGGAAAGAACTGGTTTGAATCCTGCCTCTGCCACTTCCTGGCTGGGCAACCTAGGGCAGGTGACTTCATCGGGCAGAGCCTCTGCCTTCCCATTGCTAAAATGGGAGGCATCATAATCTCAGCCCGCAGAGTGTTCAGAGATCTCAGGCTCATCCGGACCACGACAGCCTCAGCCGAAGGAGCGCTGATGGAGACAGTTCTCCAGAGGGATGAAAGCAGGAGTGACACATCTGTCCCTGAGGCCTGAGGGCTCACGGTGCGACACCCAAGGCCCTGGAGGCCCACCGAGCTGGGCGTGGTGGTGCACACCTGTCTTCCCCACACTGGGGAGGCCGAGGCAGAAGGGCTGCGGCAAGTTGGAGGCCAGCCTGGGCTACTCAGTGAGACCCTGTCTCCAAAGAAAGAAAGAGCACAGGGGTCATGCGCAGGGCTGGGGCACAGCCAGAAGTCACACGTGTAATGGTGTTCAGAGATACTGTGGGCTCAAGCACCTGCTCTCCCTGCCCTCCGGCTCCTCCTCCAGCCTCAGGACACAGAAGGGGCAGCCCACCCAGCCCCGGCGCTCCTGTCCGGCCTCATGGGAAGCTGGGCAAAATCCCTCCCTCGCCATATAAGGCTGGGCCTTCGGCCTGGGGTCAGCTACTACTCCATCGGGACGCAGAGAATGCCAGCTATGCGGAGGGAGTAGGAGGTGCTCACTGGTCCAGTAGTGCAGACACACACACACACACACACACACACACACACACACACACACACACA